AATAGAAGTACGAACAAACCAATGACTGGATTTGTTCGGGAAGAATGGGATTCAAGCAGACTCTAACGTTGAGTCCGATTGGATCAGAAGTGTGGGATCCTGCCCGAACTCAGAAATATAGTTCAGGCAAGATGCGTGCAACCACTTTGGTTGATAGAAAGAAAAGCAGGAAACTGTATTTCCAACACCCTGTAATCTAATCATGGCTTAAAATCTTTTCTCTTCCCTGAGGCAAATGGGTAATGACTGTCCGGATGGTGTGAGCTACTAGCTGTCCACTATTGTGATGTAACTATTATAGTTGGTATGAGTGCACCCTTGTTCAAAGTACAAGTACTAGTATGCAATACAGGGATTAAATAGTCCCAGCACGACTTACTACAATCAGCGCTTAGAACTGATTGTTACTAGTACAACGCAGTGCAGAATATGTTACTCTAGTTACATGACAATGGGCTTTGTTATGTGTTGTGCCTGGACCCACATAGCTACAGTGCAAAGCTCAAGTTATGATGGTCACGCAACTGCCTGCGTCTGCTCTGTTTGCTCCTGCCTTGTTGAGTTAGTATCATTAGTAAGCAATAGTCTAGAGATTATAAGTAGAGAGATTTCCTCCAAAGTAGATAGAGTAAGCAATTCAGTCTTTCCTCATTCTACAGAAATCATTCTCTGCTCCACTTCTTGACCTATCCGGCCCAGCAGCCCATCTGTGATCACTAGCAGCAAGCTCCCACAAATTGTATGTACACCCAAATCATAGACCTATCACAACATTATGGGTGTAGATAATGTACATATATATCAGTCCTATCTATGGGGCATTGACTATCATTGAATTATTATCTCTCAACTGGTCTCACATTCTCAGTGTCCGATTGTCTCTTTCTGCTCATTCGTCGTTATCCCTAGCTTAAACACTATTCTATATCTGCTCATAACCTAGTCACAACATTCACCCCACCGAGTCCGCAATTAGTATTTTACCTCCCTACTGTCAGGTTCTCTGGGACTTGGTCACTTAACTTGAGAAAGGTAGGCGTGAGATCTTGGATTCTTGATGGTGAAGACGATATATTAACAAAAGTCTAGGTTCTTGATTCTTGATTCTTGAATAACTAAGGAATAATACAAGACTGAAAGCTGGAGAGCTTTCTACATGAAGATACCTCAGCTACTTATACTTCGATACTATCTGCTACAGACTACAGTAATCTAGTTCCAGCCCGATTCCTGTCGAACTCCTGAGAGTGACCTAGAATCTGATCGAAGCTCAGTGAACTGGTAAGAGTACAAAATACCATCCCGAAATATCTAGAAACTAATTGCTAGAATAGCTTAGAACGCCATCAAAGTAACTAGAACTTGTCTAGAGGGATACCAGCTGAAGCTAGGATCAGACTCTACCTCAACACCATGAATCTATCCATGACATAGCAGTAGCCAATTAGTCTTAGAGCCAGAGGTTGGCAGGATACCATCTCAACATCAGTCAGTCCGTGACAATCAGATCATCATGAAGCCTCAGGGACGAGGCGTAATAAGAGGGCCAAAAAGCGAGATACGAGAATGGAATACGTGTTGTGGTTATGAGCTGTAAGGTATATAGCAATTATGTCTCTGCTGTCTGTCCGTGGAGTTACACGGGCTCATGTGCAATGATGAGTCGTGGAGATGGCGCGGTCACGCTGGGTGATGGCACGATTGACACTGAGTGTGTATCATTGTGGCCAAATGGGTGTTAGTAGGTATCAAACGTGAACTCTTACTGACGATGGTGATCTATGAAAGTGATGCTAGATGTGCATCCCGACAATTGATAATATCATCTGATGGATGATGTGAAGTATGATATTATATGGATAGATTAATTCACTAAACTCGGCAGGTGAAGAGATTGTAGAGTACATGAACAGCGTCTGTGCACCAGCCTCTATTTTCCACCCTTCCCTAATCCAGCAGCCCATCCTCCGTTTCACTGTCTCCTAACAACTCAACCGAGCCAGCACAACAATACGAGAATGGGATACTGGAACGAGATACGAGAAAATGATATGTGAACACCTATGGGAAACTGTATCATTGGTAGGGATAATAATAATGTATAAAATAGCTGTTATTATCCTTTTTAGTCTGTAGTAATCACGAGGTGGGAAAATGGTAGAGAGGCAGCCTGGGGAAATGAAGATAGATTGGCTATGAAAGGAGAAGAAGGGGTAACTACAGCGAGATCTATATACATGAGGTGTGGGTGTTTGCTGAGTAATGCCAAGACTAGATTGGCATTCATGTCACGTGTAGGTGTTTCATGTTCAAGCATCTACACTGCCTTGCTCATTGCATGTATGGAGCCCTGAGGGCGTAATGGTAGTCAACCATAGATTGAAAATAAACTACCTCTGACCATAAGGTTGCCCAAGTGCCTATGCTCAGACTGTGACATTCATTAGTTTCTAGCTCTAAGTTGAGTTTGAATAAATCGAGACATTAAGGCCGTCATAGTAAGATTGAGAAGCTGAAACACTACATTAGCTTAATACCATCTTCCTTGAGTACAACTAACTATGTGCCAGATTTGAACTGAGGCTTTGGAAATATTAGGTCATGGTGAGCCCCCCCAACTCTAATTGTCAGAGTTTTCTCGGAAACCTTGTCAGTAAACCTTTTCCCAAAAACTTTCTTCAAACTTTCTTCTGTCACTTTTTCCTGAGAATCTTCTCCTTGAAACGTCTTCAAAGATGCCTGGCTATAACAAATGGTGCTAAAGGAATGGAATAGGCTGATGTGGTATTATTGTGATTTGACTATCACAGTTGCCTTAATTGTACCCCTGTTTTTTGTTTGTTTATTCCATTTACATCCTGTCTAAGTCTAAGACTATTGTAGGATGTTTGTACCCCTGTCTAAAGCACTAATACTTGTATATGATGCAGGGATCAAATAACCCAAGCACAACTGTCATTAAAGTTAACACTAAGAAATTAGTGTTACTAGTACAACACAGTACAACACAGTACAACACAGTACAACACAGTACAGAATATATTTCCCCAGTTATATGACAATGAACTGTATTGAGGGTATCAATTATGTCCATATTTATCAGTCCTGTCACAGTTTGAATATAGAAAGCAAATGGGTATTTTTATGATTGAAAGGTAAAGCTATAATTCATTAATGGAGAAGCAAAATACCTGTAAGTCTCTCATGCTACTTATACACATACAGAGGTATCTAAATCTAGCCTATGTTTACAGTGGTAATGAAGCTGACTTAAGGTTTGTTCTGTCACACAGGTAATGCTTCTGAAACTCTTGGCACTATCCTTTACGTAGCCTCAGTGACAATTAAGTATCTGTTTTAGTATGCTGGTTATCTTCTGTCATGTAGAGACATGATTCATTCATAAGTTGATATTACTCAAACAATCATGACTACATCACAACGTCATGTATAGACACAACTCATCGTTTGTATTTGTTATATCAACCATGACTATATATCAGTGATAAGTGAAACATCATTGACTAGTTACTAGAAATCTAGTCAAGATCCTAAACACACAACTGAGACTAGGAGAATTTTGCTGAGTAAGTAATTATTCTGATGAATCCAGATCTGGAGGAACATAATCTGGTTGCTTGGCTCGAGGTATATGAACCGGAGCATATCATGTATTATAAACTATATAGAAATCTATCTCAATCACAATTTTCATCTTAATTCATGTCACCATCAATAGCTGCAAAGGACAGTTTAACCATTTCCTTATATCTTCGGAGTGATAAAACATATAGGTTGCCTTCTAAAGCCATTCAAGGCTACAGGACTTATTGGCTCACAAGCCGTCACAAATCCTTTCTTTTCAATTACTAGTGTAGGTATTATCATTCAAGTTTGTTGGTAAAAACAGGAGTGTTCATTTCTCCACTATAGAAGGGGACTTGACAGTGTAAGAGTTAGAATTAGAATTTTATTCAAATTGTACTGTAGGCTGTGTTGAAGATTATGAACTAAAGAAGGTGAGGTGGGAATGTTCTCCCTCATATACATGATGGGTGGTCAATGCTTATATCAAAATACCTTGTATCCTAATCAGTCCTGGCTCGTTCATCCATGACCTACCCAAGAGTACCTTAGGCCCCAGCCTATTACAGATTGTAAGTACAAATTGTAAGTATAAATTGTATATATCTATTGCTTTCTCTTCTCTACCCAGTTTTACATATTTCTTGTCTCAGATGCATGCTGACTAATCATCCAACAAAAACTGAGTGGCAATAATCCTAGATGTAAATGCCAGTGGCTTAGACCAATAAATACAACTACAGAGCTAACATCCTGACAAAGTTATTTCACATACTCAGCGTCCAATTACCTCCTTCTGCTCATTCCCTGTTATCCCCAGCTCTTAAATCATACCATATCTACTCATGACCTAGATATAAAAAGTATGGAATGGAATGGACTGATACAGAATGGAAGCTGACACCATCCATCTGGAATTATGTAGAATGATTTCAATGAGAGCTATATGTTGAAGCTTTGTTGTTTAGTGATAGAAATGAGAGTGGGGTTTATGGGTCACAATGTATTAGTACCTTACTATTGTTGTTATACTAGTTAGGGTTGTGTTGTCTATATACAAAAGGGATTTCTCAATGTACAAGCGGGCCAGATCGCTTAGATCCGGCTAGCGGCTTTCGCCATTCTGTTCCTTCTCCCCCGCATGGCATTGCGTGCTATACAACTACTGCTCTCCATGAAGCCCGAGGATGAAAAGCGTTAGATTACAACACTATATTCACATGTATATCAGAATAGTAATCCTCCCATATTAGAGAGAATTTAGCATAGCTTACTCTAAATACTCATCTGCTGCAATATCAATCATGTTCTTCAGTAAACTTGCATTACATAACTGGTGACTTTTCCGCCTCTCATAACCTTGCATTTAAAATATTTAGTTCCATTCATTATCTTTTTGCTCCTGCACTTATCTCTTAAGCCTTGTCACATGTCACATATTGACCTCCTGATGAGTATACCATACCCTGTGCAGTGCCTCTTCTATCCACAATTAAGAAATAAATAGATACACTCCCTAGATGGAGATTTAATTCAGAACAAATTCTTATAATATTTACACTTACCTGAAGTATAAATTAGGGTCGAAGGAAGCATAGGATATAGTTTATGCGGGCCCGGACCAGATAAGCCATCGGCTTGATATAATATAGGATAGCCATTAATTGAATAAAACCCATGATTTTCTACTGTTGTAGCTGTAGTTTCAACACTGTCTGAGTAAAACCCTTGACCATTGCAAGTATACATCAAATGACCTCCGTTACCAGCTTGAGCAGCACATGATGTAAATAAACTCAACAATTTTGTGATTCCAGCTATGTATAGGAACTTCACCTTGGTTGTTGGTAGAGGCATTCTTGCTTGAAAATACAGAGGCTTTTGTGTTGATGAAAGCCTTGTTCTTGGCAAAGTTGACAACTGTTGGTTTCGGAATATTTTGCAAGAAGGAATGAGTGATAGAAGAATTGGTTCTATTGGGGGCTAATGATTTATACCCAAATATTTGGTTGATAAGAAAGATATCTGTCAAGTGATTTTCCTGGTGATAGCTGGCTTGGTTGTTCTATAGGCCTAGACTTGCAGGAGGATTGAGCCCTAGAAAATGGATCTGCCTTTTTAACCAAGAAATACACTTATCAGGTGTTTATGTAAAGTTGTCATCAAAACACTCCTTGCATGGGCTCAGTCCCATTGAAGCGGCCCTGTCAACTGGAGGATGTAGGTTATTTTGTGGTGGTCAGGATTATCTTATTTGTGATATATATTTGTGGAGATAACTAGGGTAAAGTTCTCTGTGATGCTTAACTAGCTTTTTAAACAAGCAGTTACACACTAATTTTATGCATTATATGGGGTTTCAAACTCTAGCCTGGATACCTTGCCCTTGAATCATCATTCTGTTTATCTGCACACATGTTGATCTGAAAGTGGCATTGCTTGTGTGCACCCTGTCACAGACCAAGGGCCCATTCAAAAACAATAGGAACTAAGTGTGAATATATGTGTGCTATTCTACTAAATTCTACCCTAATTTAATCCGTTCTAGCCTATCTTACTCTATTCCATTCCATTCTAATCTGTTTTGTTTTGTTCTGTTCTGTATTTATCATGACTACTCTACTCTGTATGAGAGTATACTGGAAAGTTCGAGAACAATAGAAAGGAATATAGTAAAATAGCAAGCATTTTTTCATACATAGTTCCTACTGTTTTAGAATAGGCCCCTGGTCCGTGACACCCACTATAACGAGCATCATTTTGCAATAACAGCTAACACAATTGTTGAGTAGATTACAGATAATTTCATATCTAACTCATGCTCTGTTTCATTTGTGTAGGGATTGGCTTGTAAGTGAGTCAAGCTTAAGGTAAATAGTGAGATTTTTTTAGCAATAGAGCCGGAAATATTGGTCTGACATTAATTAGCTCATTGCAAACTATGACAAAGCCAAGCCAGCAATTTTTGACCTGTCAATCAAGTCTCTCAAAATATTATTGTGGAGGCTTTTATTTTGGACAGTATTAGTCATATATCCTCCTTTTGTCCCTTGAATTATTGCTCATAAATTCTAACCTATAAAATTTTTGAACTCTAAAATTATTAGAACTTGGAATATGGTAGAAGTTTAATGAGCTTTATAATATAAATCTAGTCTGTATTCAAAAGCTGTGAGAACAAAAAATAAGAGGTAATAGACAGTGTGCCTTGGTGTTTTAATATGAGACACCAAAGTAGTCAAGTCTAGGGTATTGCAAATGGCTTAAGGCCACAGCTTATGTTAACAGTGCACTGGTTAGGCGAGCATGTATACAGTTTCATAGATGCATTCACAATAAATAGACAGAGGTTTAGGCTTATATTTTCTGTCAATATACCTACAGCATAGTATTGTATGAGTCTATTCACTGTCATCTATTAAATATAACATCATCCACTCCTCATCACTTCGCAATATGACTTCTGTATAGCTCATAACCATAACACACAGACAAAGAGCCTGTTCTGAATATCTTCTAAGTTGATTACTCATACAACTAGGTCTTCTTTGGTAAATAATTTTTAAAAATTCTGTGCATCATAGGTTTCTGCTGTCTTCTCAGCTTAATTTAATTATTTGATTTCGCATCTCGTGCATCTCTGTGCAATGATATCAGGAGAAGATGCTTTGATACATACTATGTTGATAAATTGAGACTCAGAAGTTTATCCCAGGTGAAGAAATGTGATTGAATGATTGATTTTTATAAAATATTCCAATACTCTTTAAACACGAGTCTTCAGAGCAGCATGTTGGCAGCAGGGCGGAGACATGGGTCAAAGTGGTAGTGTTCAGGATAAAGGACACCATCCTACATTAAACATGAGAAAGGTGCATAACCACTCAGCCAAAAGGCCAGACCATAATCACAGAACGCTAGATACCAGTTATCTCCACATATATAGATTATACAGAAGGCAATCCTGACATCTCCCCACACTATAGTACAAGCTTAATGTGTCAAATAGTCCTAAGTATGAAGTAAGAACATGATTAGCTCCAATATTGCAAACAGCAATTGTCAGGAGCGACTAAAACTGGTACAAGGTTACGAGTTGTATGTGACAGCTTGTAAGCCAATAATTACCTGTTGCCTATGCTGTCCAACGTAGGCTTAGCGTGATACTAGGCGGAACCTATTCTCGGAAGTAGGGACTTACAAGTAGCAATATCAATATTGTACAACTTCCGAGAATGAGGCGAAATAGTGTTGTGAATGATGAGCACTGGAGATATTCTTGGGATAGACTTAGAGACAATTGTGATATAATGCTCGAAAACTGAGTTGTGAACTTTAGAGGGGATTATTATTTGCTAAAGTATAATGGATAAAGTGTGTGATCTATGTTGGACACTTTTGGGGGCAGTGCCTGACTACCTGTCTAAATACATGAGAAGCTGGTCCATGCACTGCTATCACTTCTTGTCAAACTCGAGGGTACCAGGGGTTGTGTTTTAAAGATAACTTAGAAGTGCGAGTGATATCTGACAAGATTTGTCATAGATTAAGGTATTAATTCGGTATTCTAGCTATAACTGAGGACAAGGGACAAGAGAAACTAGGACAAGAGACGAGGTCAATGGAAGACGGAAAACAAGACGTGGCCCTCTACATCGGCTCTACCCAACCCATATATACATCATAGTAACCAGAGCAACTAAGGCGTCAAGGGGTGCGCCTGCTGCTATTCTATTACTTCATTTGTAACCCATAGCAACCATTGTAACCCGGTAAACGCTCTAAGATGAGAGAATATTAAGATGTAGTGTAGGGAAAGAATATGAGGGTGCTGCTCTATCCTCAGTTCCTGACACTTCTCAACATCCTGATCCTCAACAGATCTCTACAACCACTATGTAGCTTACCTCAATTGTGTAGGCACAGCGACTATATTAATCCATGACCTAGACCATGCACGTCTCTACGTTATGTTAGCACGGACTAGGATTACAACAAATAGTGGGATACGAGAACGGATATGCAGATATACGGGTAAACAGGTAAACAGATAGAAAGCCGCGTCATAGGCTGGGATAATAATCATGTATAAAGTAGCTGTTATTATCCTCTTCGATCTATAGTTCACCATAGATTGATAATAAACTATCTCTGACCATAAGGTTGCCCAAGTGCCTATGCATAGACTGTGACAGACAGTACTCGAAGCAGACAGTTCAGGATTCGTGCTTGGAGGTTGTGTATCACAAAGGGATGAAAAAGGACTTTTAAGACCAATAGCTGATTTATCAAAGAAGCTGATGCCAGCAGAAGTCAACTAGAAAATTCACAACAAAGAGATGCTAGTGATCATTGTTGGAATGGACGTTGTATAGAGTAGCGTAAGCTGTTAGGCTTGTATTTAATATCACCTAGTGAAGCGATTTGGGAGATTGAAGAGTCTGAAAACTATAGTGGAGAGTTGTTGATTAAACCCACTTAGTATCAGAGCGCTATTTAATCTAATTACTACAGCTAAGCGAAGGACACAATTCACTAGCTTATGCTAGATAATTGGGAGGCTGGTCAATGTATGAGCTGTCATGAACATCCTAGTAATATTCGAACCTTATTACATTCCATGTTAATGCAACTCTTCATTGCCAAGTAGCGCCAATTTCAACAATCATTTGTTGTATGGAAGAATGGCGAGGAATGCTAGTTGGACTCAGTAAACCTTTCACAATGTTATCAGACCATGAGAATCTTAAGCACTCCATGACAACACGCGCACTCAATGAAAGGCAAATGCGTTGATTGCAACTGTTGTCAAATTTTGATTCGAAGCTGAAGTTCCGCCCGGGAAAACAGGCAGTAAGACCAGTCGCATTATCAAGGCGCGAGCAAGACATGCCGCAAGGTTCAGACAACAGTAGAATAAAAAATTGAGAGTTACAGTTACTTAAAAATATCTTGCTATCAGCTTTCACAACCTGCATCTCCCCCTAAAAAATTGTAAAAGAGAACAATAATATTCCTTGTGGTCCAAGCATATTTTCGGATAAATAATTCCAAAACTTGTGGAAAAAGGCATTATATGAAGGTAAAGATATTCGTATTTTGTACTATGCCTTAGCAAAAGGTTACCTTAGCCTCCTGCCATCACTCAAACATCTGAAAATATCTTGGGCGGAATGTGATTTCAATACTAGAGGAACCCTTAAATTTCGGGATAGACTTTGAATTCCAAATTATTAACCCCTTTGTCAGGCGCAGGTTCACTAGGCGCAAGACTCGAGGCGTAAGAGAGGGCGTAGCGTACGATGTACTGAGGAGGGACGCCTCGTGGGAACGCGGAGGGCTTTCTAGGGAAGTAGTAAATGGGAAGGCGGAGAGTCGTTCTAGATAGAGGTGACAGTAGGTCACTATGGTTGGCAGATGACGAGAGTGAGATGTGATTAGAATAATGTGACTATTCCTAAAGACAGAAAACAAAGCATGAAGATCTCATTATTGGAAATGAAAACTACATGACTATCCTTGCTAGGCAATAAGCCTAGTGGTTCTAAACAAGGAACCCATATATCCTGCCTGAGGCATTTCTCCAGAATCCTAACACCCTTCAAACAGCACTTGTACAACAAAAACTCGACTCTCACAATACAGGGCATCCAGGGCAAGATAGCACTCTTGCTATATCGGGCTTAAATTTTTTTGGCCAGGAATCTCGAAATCTGTAAGAAGATTCTGCAGAAATTGTGATGTTTGTGGACGTAGTCATATTTGGAGGGAGACAAAAAGAGGCCTGCTACATCCTTTACCTATGTCAGATAGATTTAACAGCGAGATAGAGATAGATTTTATGACAGACCTACTGG